GAAGGACCCTTGAGAGTCTGAAGAGAGTGCAGAAACCTTGAGGTTTTTCCCTTAAAAAGGGAAAAATTATGTTGATTCTCATGAAATCTTAAAGCTTAATGACTTCTTAGGATATGCTTCATGAGTTTTGGTCTCACACAGCTGGCAAGATCATACTCTTTCCCTAACTACGGTGCAGCAGCTATTTCTCATTATTTAATTGCAATATTTTATGCTTCAATAAAGATTCAGCCCTTGAAGTTATACAATTGTAAGAAGGATTTTTAGCTCCCCCTTCCCCCTCCTTAACACTGCAGACAAAATCTTGAAAATATAAAGCCTAAAAATCAGAATGTGAAAAGAGATAACATACTATGTTTATTTAAAGAATCTCTCAATACTTCTACCATACAGTCTTGTGGAGAGCCAGCTCATGGTTTTTGGACTCATGAGGTGAGCACCATTGCTAGTTAGCACTTCATTGAGTTGTTTTTCCTCTCATAGTGCCTTGAAAATGAAAGCGCTGCTTGCCAAAAGTGCCACATATTGTTTATATTTTTATATCCCTTGATTATTTGTACTACTATATTGCCAGGAATCCTGCAGTAATCACAAGCCCATCCCACCAGCTACCGCACACAGCACAAGAGATCCTCTTCCCTAATGACCCTTATGGCCTACCTGATAGACTGGGTGAATTTGTTGAATTAACAGCATTTTTCTCCAATCGTTGTTGATTGTGTGGGGACACTAATTACTTTTCATCCAGGGACAGCCCAGGATGCTCAACTAAGGGCATGATTTGAGCCAGAAGGAAGTGGACACCTCATCCACCCTGGAAGAAGCTCTAGGGGTGGCTGAGCACCAGTACATGAGGAGGGCAGAGGGCCCAGCTGACACCTGGGGCATGGCAGAACAACATTTACAGACACTTTATGTACTTCTTGGACATACATACCATCCTTCAAGGGTTATGTACACACACAAACAGGGTAATCCAGAATGCAACCAAGATATGGTGACGTCTGCTAACTGTTAATGTCATGTCTTAGCCTTTCTATAGCCAATAAGACACACCCATTAATAGGGTGGTATTTGATAGGGCAATTCATGACAGTACAAAGGTAGCATACATGTGGGTCCCAAGTCAAAAAGCCATGCCTTTTCTCCTCCCCTCTCCATTCGGAATAAATAGCACTCCGGAAGGTATAGATAATAAAAAATAAAAAAGAGACACCCATAAAATAACAAGACAAGAAACAGTGGTATAATACACCGTTTCCAGTCCTGCCCCAATCAGGTTTAGCAGCTGCCAGCCATTCACAGGTTTTTCAAAGCAGCTCCAGCCATGCACAGATGAAGCGCTGAAACCTGGACAGCTGATAACACAGGAGCTGGTGGTAGCGGCTGTCATCTGCCCAGCCACGAGGTTATTTATTTATAGAAAAGCCTTTGAACCAGACCATTACAGTTCAGCGTAGTAATAACAAGTTATAGTGAATTCAAAGAGTGGTAGGGTGTAGCACAGCCATGCATTATATACCCTGTTGTAAATGGTCTCTGAGGGAAAAGGCCTGTAATTTAGAGAGATTTCAACGGCAAAACCTGGGTCATTGTAACAGATACTTTTTCTTAGTTATTTTTATGGAAAAGAGAAACTGGCCTGAAAACGTCAGGCAGTGCGTGTTTTCATTCAACCTTAGTTAGCTATGAAACCTCCTGGAGCTCAATCTCCCTACACCAAATATTTGTTTTAAGATTAATTGTTCACACAGGAACTAAACTGCAAATTGCTGAATGTGAAGCTTCTTTCAGAGGAGATTTCTGTTCCTTCTCAGGATTGTTTTCTCATGTGTTGTTGGCTCTTTCAAATGTCCTGTAACCTTTGAGAAGCAGAATTCAAGCAGAATCAAGGAAATGGCTTTTCTGTTTGTTTGTTTGTTTGTTTTTTAAATGTCATCCATGTATGTGTCATTTTTAGGAATCATATTACAGGAGAGCCTCAGAATTCTGTTCAGAGGTCCCTGTTGCAGCAGACATCATGACTCAGGACACAGGCCGTGGAGTACAGCAGGTACTCCAGGTAGTTGCCCTGGTCAGGTTGAGAGCTACAGATAAACCAAACCGCTTCCCTCCTAAAAACAACAACAAAACAATATGAATACGGAAGTAGAAGCTTAAACAGTGAAATCCAGGCTGCCTGGGAGTCAGTGGTCCAGCCCAGCTTTCTCAAGGCTGAGTATTTTCCCCATGGTATCTTCACCTGATCAAAGTGACATAGCATGTCCTCTCACTCAGCTAGAGAACAAGGAAGAAAGTCTGCCCTCATCTAGCCTCCAGTTTTGTCAGACTGCTCCTTCAGAGCCAACCAACCACAACATCTAAACTCTTGGGCCCATGCATTCAGTGTAGACCAGTATGTTCTTCTTCGTGTTGGCAAGCTAAGCTGCACTCCCATCCAAGTCAAACGTAGATATTCTCAATCTTAGTCCCTGTGCCTTCAGTTTACATTTCTCTTCAGCAGTTCTTTTTCACTCCCTCTCTTTTCTGCACAGAAGATAATTATCACAGGTAGTTTCCCTTCTTTAGTCGGCAGCTGTAAGTACAGATGTCTCCTTGTGTATAGTCATCAAATGGTACTGATGGCTGTTCACAAGCTCTGTTATGGGCAGGAGTCAGCGTATGGCTTCTAACAGCACCACAGAAAACATTCTTTTACCAGTATTAGAGTTAAAATGTGACAGAAACAATTAACCAAAGCCAAATCCAAATATCAGGAACCAAAATGTGCAAAAGTAACATTTCATAAGATCATTGTGTGCTTCTAGGCTATCATTGCTAAATAGGAAATTAAATATGAACATATGTAATGCAAAATTGTTTCCCTGTCACTAAATGAATTCTTTTCAAAAGAATTTAAGATCTCATCTCCATCTGCCTACTATTTATTGAAATCCTATCCAAAAATAAGGCCAAATTTTATCTGCGTGATCATTCTTAGTTCTCTTATCCAAATTTCTTGTTGATACAGAATACTCAAAACAATGAATTGGAACCTATTTGAGAAAAGCAGGATTTCTTTCTGCTGTTCATGGATTAAGTTGATAGACTGAATAAATTAATAAAATAAATAAAGGGAAGTATTGACTAAACCATCACTTTTATTTACACTTTTCTTTTTTACAAGAACTCTTTGTAGCCCTTATTCTCCAGCTTTCAACAGTCCCTTGAGTCCCAAAACTAACATTCAAAACCCAAACACCAAACTAATGAAAAAAAATTCTGCCTTTAAAAAGGTACAGAATAACCTGCAGGCATCTTTTGAAGATCTATCAAATCAAGCATTTCTCATGGAGTACTGATTACTTTAAGCTTACAAACTTCTTTAAAATAGTAGAACAACACTACATATGTTACCTACCCATAACACCAGATAAAAGGAAAAGCATCACCAGAAAATATTAGGTATTTAGAGGAAATAGGAGTGTAAGACACATCCTATGGTAAGCCTGACACTCATTTACTATAAATCACTTCTTCATTACTCTGTGAAGAAATCTAACCAAAATTGAGTACAAACATTAAATGAGAATTCAACTTTCTATTATTGAAACCAAAGGCTGAACAGACAAAACAAACAGAATCCAGTCAGAATTCAACAGGACATTGTTTCAGATAATAAGCAGTAAGTGACAATTAACCACTCCTCTTATGATGCTTAGTTAAACCCCTGTGGTGTAGCATATCAGTTCTAGCATTGTCTTTTATAGCAAAAAGACTATTTAGATGTATTAATTGTATCAAAGCAATGAACCACTGATCCAATTTCACATTCACTAGCACCAATTAAATGAAAAACATGACGAAGCACTATGACAACTTACACTGCAGCATTAGGAGGTAAGAGAAAATGAGAGCTCAAAAAACACTGCCTCTGTGGGCTCTAATGGCAGAGTATGAGTTACAGTGTGAATATGTGTTGTGAAATAAAGGCCAGAGTAGCTAGGTTTACTATGTTCCAGAGCTTAATTTGGTTTAAAACATGCTTAAATTTTTTCAAGTTCTAAATTAATAACCTTACCATCATGCAGCAGTCTGGGGTTTTTCTAACATTCACTTTAAAATCACAGGCCAGTCAATGCTCAGCATGAGTTAAAGATCTTTGCAAACGCACCCTCTGGCTGAATTTCACACACAGATCTCCGCTAAAGTCTCCACAAGCTCAACAGTACAATTTAACATTACGCCAAGTATGCTTTGCATATAGTTCTAGTAAAAACAACTCCATTTGCACAAACAGTCAATTCAACAACACAGTTTTCTACCTAATCTCATGTTAATGTTGTTATTAAATAAGTATATGAGGTGGACAGAAATAAATTGCTAGCAACCAGTACTCTTCAGACCGTAATGCAAGTTATTAACAAGAAAACCTTAAAATACATTTCTTTTCCTCCACGGCCTCCTGCAATAAAAGCCAGAGGAAAAACACATACAAAGTGACTTGATTTTGGCATAGCTAGATGTGGAGATTCTCTGTATGGAATTTTACTTAAAATTAAGTGATTAGCACAGTTGTTGTGTTTAAATAAATTTAATTGTTGCAGGTGCCACCTTGCTCAGAGATCTGCATCCTAGAGATAAACACTATTTAAAGTATTCATTTTATATTCTAGAAACTCAAAAACCTGTCAAAATCAAGCATGGTTCCTGGCCAAGATCATGACTGGAATCGACCCAAATATAAAAACAAGTGCAACTAAAACCATACAGCTATTTCCTGTATTTGTGGGTGCATGTGCCAGCCTTTGCCTTTTTTATGTTCCTAACAGCTAAGGGATTTTCCATACTTCCTTGCCTATTCTCCCTTTTGCAGATGAAGCATGCAAGGAGCACAAAGTGTCAATAGAAACAGCAGCCCCAGCCCTGGCATCAGGGCAAGATTGGCCTGTGTATGGGAGAACACTTTGAGCAGGATGATAAGGAAGCTTAATCATACCTAATCAGCTGCATTTACCTACCCCACTGCAGCACAGAAATCCCAGAGAACCAGGTGCTCCGAGGCAACGCAGAGCACAGAAGCTTGTGTCTGTGATTGAATCAGGAATTGAAACCTGCTGTGGCTCATTCCTCTTCATTATCTGCACAAGGAGGTCTGCATGACTGGGTTGGTTGTAGACAGTTAATCTTTAACTTCTGAAGTTAGGTGTGATGAATCCAATCTGAAGTCATTACGAAACACCAAACACACAGGCTGTACCTTCCAGTCCTGGGCTGGTAAGAGTATAGCACACTGACAGCAACACTCACCTGGACAATTTAAGTGGGCCGTTAAATTCAACATGTGGCCTCAACACAATCATCTTTTTTCAGGATTTACAGTTTTTATAAAGTTTTGACCCTGTTCCGTAGATTTCTATAGGTCTCAGACTGCAGTGCTACATTGTTCTAGGTAGCATGCTCCCAACCATCTCACCCACCCCATCTGTGCCTTCAATTCTGTATATGCTCAGTGAGTATATGTAAAATCACCTTTTTATTTTTCCTTAGGTCTAAAGACCAAAATTCACCAAAATCAAACACCTAGCCTTCTGAGAATTCATTAGAGGCAATTCAATTTCCTTCAACCACTGCAGTACCTGTTGCAATGACTTGTGCTTGAAAGTGAAAATATGTTTTAAATGACTAAATGTAATGTTGGCTTTACGTTATTCACAGATTGTAACAGGTAACAGCCATTAATGGCCCTCACTTAAAATACCATGACTTACACAATGATTGACTCCATCCAGATTCAGATTCCAGATCTCGTTATGCCTTTACCTGCAAGGTTGAAGAACATTTTCCTACTGAACATCTTTTATCATGAGAGCATACACACATATGTACCCACTATGGTCAGATTTAATCTTACCATTTTACCCAGTTCTATAGACTGAAGTGGGAGCCAAACACCATTATTGTCAATGCCTTTGACTTAAAACACTAAAAACATTAATATTAAAAATATATGTATCCAGATTTTGAGTGTTTTTGAGATACGTAAAGACTATCCACATTACTGTGGATACTTCACAAAAAATCCTGAGATGACTTTAGAGGAAAGCAGAGAAAACACCTACCAGTTTGAGAAATCCAAACATCTTGCCCAGATCTACAGTGTTTTTAGATCATTCTACAATTCATTGCAGCTAATCTGATCTACAGTCAGCTAGCTAGCTGTACATTACACCCAAGCACTCTGAATTTCAACTGTGCAAAGCCCAGCATTCATTGCTTCAACATACCTCTTCACTAATGCTCCCATTCCCACTAACACACATAGGCATAAAAAGGCACATAATGCAGAGCACAACATTCTCTAAGTAGTGGTCTTTAACCCTGAAGTAACATTACAAGACTTAAATGCTGAGGGGGTTAGGGAAAAGGGGAATGTTTTGTATTGTTATTTTTTTTTAGAGCACACTTCTAAATCATATTCAAGTAGCAATGGAAAATCTTAAACTGATCTGTTAGCTAAGAAAATTCCAGACACTTCATTGAGGGGAGACTATAAAGACACTGTTAATTCTCCAGTGAGACCTGTTACTCTGCAACAAGTTGATTAGTCATCTGGCAGCTGCTCAGTTTGGTCTAATCGTCCACAGAACGCAACAGACAGAAGAGCCAAAACATATCTCCTGTGCATGGCAGTCTTTCAACTCTGAAAGTTGTTTCCAGAAATAACAAGAAAAGAAAATAAAATTAGACTTTGTACCAACACTATGATGGAAATTTTGAAAAAATAAAATAAAATAAAATAAAATAAAATAAAATAAAATAAAATAAA